GTACTGACTGAAAAGTACTGGCTTTGCTGTTAATCACTGTCCTGCTGATGATAGAAGTAGTACTGGGTTTGTTCTTTCTGTTCTGCTGGTGGTGCTTCACAAAAAAGGCCACTAAGAAAACACAGTGATAACTAGAGTGAACTGATTTTTGGTTTGGATAAAATGTTTATTTAAAAAGAGCCGTTTAAGTGAATCGATTCATTGTCGTAGTCTTCCCGTTTCTGTGTGGCAATTTTGTGCGTGTATCGGCCAATTCTCTCCTGCTGCTTCATTGCCGCCAATTGCTGCTACTGTTTGACATTCATCAGCAAACATCGACTACTACTCCGACGTTTTCTCTGCTGATCTTTTTGTTTTCAGTGATTGTGCATCTTTCTTCTTCCATTTCCTCTTTGACATCTCTGCAGAATTGTCGGCGTTAATTGAGTTAGCAGCGTGCATCTGCTAATCAAATTACAGCACACTTACAGTCAACCAGCTAACCAGTGTCTGCCCATTTGATTTGCGGTAATTGTCATTGCTGTCATTAGTGATTTACTCCTTTACAAACTGTCCACTCTAGTTGTGTAGAAGCGTAGCAAGAGTCGAGTCACTTTAACAGCTGCCCTCACTCTACAAGGCGATCTCTTCAGTGCATTAAGGCAACCGTCACTCGAACTTTTAGTTTTTCATGTCTCTAAGAGTTTTCATATGAAAACAACTTTTTGCATTTTTTACAACCGTTTTTTCTTGGAGCACCTAAAATTCTGATTTTGGTCTTAAAATAATCTTAAAGACTTTATCTTGAATCGTATGGAGGGGTTTTAAAAAATATTGTTTTGGGATTTTTTAATAACTANTATGGAGGGGTTTTGAAAAATATTGTTTTGGGATTTTTTAATAACCGATCAAAGTTGAAACACGCGTTTTTTGAAACTTCAACTCAATGAAAAATATAGTAAAAAACAATATTTTCCAAAACCCCTCCATACGATTCAAGATAAGGTCTTTAAGATTATTTTAAAACCAAAACCAGAATTTTAGGTGCTCCAGGTCAAGTCGGTTGTAAAAAAATGCAAAAAGTTGTTTTTNTCCTTTACAAACTGTCCACTCTAGTTGTGTAGAAGCGTAGCAAGAGTCGAGTCACTTTAGCCGCTGCCCTCACTCTACAAGGCGATCTCTTCAGTGCATTAACCAATTAAAAGTTTGAAATGCTTCTCAAACAAAGCGAACTCATAGTTTGAATGAACTCGGCCGTTGTCGTTGCTGTTGGGCAGATGAAAAGTATCATTAGCCGTCCATTTGTTGTCCTCCACTGAAGGTTCCTTTCGGTACATTTGTCGTTTAGTAAAAAGAAGCAAAAAGTTGTTCAAATTTTCTCGTAGATAACTGTATCGACAGGAATTAGGCTCTCTCAGCTTTTATTTAAAAAAAGTACACTTTTTACCCTCTTTTTACTTTACTCTTGACCAAAAAAATGTTCGTTTTTTGTCAGCAGCCAGCTTAAATTGATTGCAGATAGTGATTTATATTTATTTGCTTATAGTAAAAAGAAAAAAAGCAGCAGTAATAATTATAAAAGTTGACATTTTCGCTTCATTCTCCGTTCATTATTGAATTAGATGGTTTATACATTTAAAGTGCTACTGCGCTCCCTTTGCTTGAGCTATTGTACGGCGCCGTTTCCCTTCCGTCTATGTGTCTGCTCTGCTCTGCTGCCCGTAACACCGCTTCTACCATTTAGTCCTCACAAAGAAAAGTTAATGTGGCAGCTAAAGATAATACTTCCCAGATTTAATTAGAGAAAAAACAGTAGTGCAGCAGTGCATTCTTTGGCCAAAAATATAGGCCACAAAATAGGCAACGATGCACCCCTTGATTTAGAAAGAACAGGGAGCATTGAATCGTGCCGCTACAATCAACGCAAAAAATGCTGTTCACTGCAAAATGCTCTTCTTTTTTCTTTCTTTGGGCTAGCTGATTGAGTGTGAGTGATCGGCGCCGAGTGAATTGTTCCAGCCCAGCGCCCGACTATCGAGCGAATGTTGCACAAAGCTGTCAATTTGCCATTTACCCAAATTGCCTCCATGTGCTTGTTGTTTCTGATTGTGAGTGCCATTTTGACTGACAAATCCAACCAAATGTACACTTTTGTGTTCTGCGTTTTGTGCGTGTGTCAATGCACTGATGTTGATAAGAGGCAATTGGGGTCAATAGGATGATGAAGTGAAAGGAGAGGGAGGATATAACTTGTCACTAATCTAAGGGGTACAAGGGCATCACAAAATCACACAAACCCACACACACAGCTTTGTGTGGGTGCACATATTAGCTCACATACAACAAATAATTTATTTTAGTCTGTTTATAATTGAAAATGCTGCATCATTCACAGGCTGATTCTTAGCCGGAGAGAAGTTAACGATGTCTTTTCTGCTGAAGCAAGCACTCGAATGGTCAGTCTTTCGACCACTGCTCGTCTACGGAGTGCTCTTCTACATACTCTTCCACCTGACGCGCAAGTTCCTTCAAGCTCGGCAGCTCACCAAGATTGTCGACCGCATTCCCGGACCAAAAAGTTCCCTTAACCCGTTGGGGCACATATACATGGTTCGGGCGAATGGACAAAATGATCTCATTACCAGTGAGTCACAGAGCTTTTGATTTACGACGCAACTTTAAATGATAATAAAACCCGTGTTTATTAATATTAAATGCAGATTTCTTTGACGCTATCTGCGGACTAACCAAAGTTTACGAGCACAAACACTCGCTGATTCGCTTTTGGCTGGCACACACACCGCTGATTCTCTTCTTTAAAGCCGATGCCGCTGAGGTTGGTATTAGTGTGCCCCTGGCAACTGACAATGCAATAAGAGAAAGAAAACTTTTACTACCGTCTTTTCTTTTCTTCTTTATTTTCTTTTTTATTTTGGCAGAAAATCTTCTCCTCTAATGTTCACATTCAAAAGTCAGTTGAGTACGAACTTTTACAACCTTGGCTCGGCACTGGCCTGCTTACCAGGTTTGTGATGAGGGAAAGAAGAAGGGAGCGTTTCCGCTCCATCACTGGAGCTGGGGAGGCAACAAAGGAACATTAATAATTACATTCTCCGCACTGTTATTGCTACTTTACAACAGCTCAGGGAAGAAGTGGTTTCAGCGAAGAAAAATGCTCACTCCCGCTTTCCACTTCAACATTTTGGAAGCTTTCCTGCCGGCAATGAACGAGCAATCTCAAGTTCTAGTGACCAAAATTCGTCAGCAGGTGATCGAGTCACAGGAGAAGGGCGCCGTGCTTGATGTCGTGCCGTACATCACTTACGCAGCTCTTGACATAATCTGCGGTGAGTGGGTGCTTTGCGCTAAACTTTGCACAGTAGCGGCACTATTGACCAAGTAATTGACATTTGACAGAGACGGCAATGGGCCTGAAGATCGCCTCACAGAGCAACCCCAATAATGACTACGTTATGGCCATTCACAGGTGAGCCTATCGTCAGTGGACACACACACGCAAAACTGTGGCCATTCTCTCGGGGTCTTGATGATTTTTTCTGATTGGCAAAGTTAACATTGACAGAGTGGGCAGCAAGATGATCAAACGAGTTCTGCGACCATGGCTCTGGAGCAATTTCGTGTACTACAACTTTTCCGCAGACGGTCGTGAGGACAAAGTTGACTTGAGCATTCTGCACAACTTCACAATGAAGGTAAACAGTGCAATCACTTGTTTTCTGTGCGCTCTGGTTTAACATTAGTACAATTATTCACTGTTTGTTTGTTCCTATTTGAAGGTAATTAAAGAACGTAAGAAGGAAGCTCTAGAGCAGAAAAGTGAGGTCGGCAACGAAAATGAGAAAATAGACAGTTTCACTTCGTCACGTCGGCGATTGGCCTTCTTGGACATGCTCATTGAGCAGCACCTTAAAGATCCTGAAACACTAAACGAAGTGGACATGCGGGAAGAGGTGGACACTTTCATGTTTGAAGGGTATGCTTTTTGTTAAACATGGATGCAAATTAGATGCAGTTAGCAAATGAGTGCAAGTTTTTTACACCTATGCTCACACGTTTCCTCAACAATTTGTACACAGGCACGACACTACTGCAATGTCAATGATTTGGACGCTTTTCCTGCTGGGTCATCATCCTGAGTATCAAGAACGAGTTCAACAGGAGATTGATGAAATTTGGGAGCGAGATCAAGTAGATGATAGCAAGTTTCTCAACTCTAATCAGCTGAGAGAAATGAAGTTTCTTGAAGCTTGTATAAAGGAGTCTTTGCGCCTTTTTCCAAGGTTTGTACTTTTTTATTGTTTTAAAATGCAATTAGTCATTTTTTCCTTCAATCTACGTAGTGTGCCATTCATTGCTCGAGTGGCTAGTACTGATATTCCGCATGAGAACTACGTCATTCCAAAAGGATCTACTCTTTTTCTTTTTTTGCACATGATCCACCGTGATCCTAAGCTGTTTAAGCAGCCGTACTCATTTATACCAAACCGCTTCATTGAAGGCTCTCAAGAGTACGTCAAAAATCCGTTTGCTTATGTACCTTTCAGGTAGTGTTTGATATTGTTTGTTAAATACTTTCATGCGTTAACTTTATTTTGAATTTTTATCTGGACAGCGCGGGGGCTAGAAACTGTATAGGTATTTGAAAGATTTAAAGTTTTAAAAGATGAGCTTTTATATTAATATTCTTTTTTAATTCTTTGCAGGTCAAAAGTAAGGAATGCCAAATAATTTATGTTTAAGATTATTATTCTGACTTTTTCACTTACTCAGATTCGCCTTGCAAGAAGAGAAAGTCTTGTTGGCTACGGTGTTGCGACACTACCGACTCCAATCTCAGAAGCATCTGGACAAAATTCTTATGCACCCAGAGCTTGTCATTCGTCCAAAGGAGCCAATTGATATTCGTTTCATTCCTCGCCATTAGCGTTGCTTTGCTAATGCTGGCAGCACAGCTTGAAATAACAATGAATGGAGGAAAAGAGTGCTAGTGCTAACAGTGAGTGTAGTACATCAATCTTACTTACCAGTGAAAGCTGCCTAAACTAGGCCGCATTTGTCTGCTTTCAAATTTCAAAGTTCCATTTTTCTTTCATCTGTCTTGGTTAATAGTTTGTTGCTGTAAGTTTCCAAGTTTTGAAACAACTTTTTTGTCTTTTCATATTTCATCACGGTTTGCACTGTACATATTGCTCCTTAAACACTAGTGTATACATTGCAAGTTAATCAATATCTGAATAAAAAGTATATTTTGAATCAATCTGCTATTTGTGCTCATTAACAATCAAGTTTGTTGACTGCTTGATCTTGCTTAATCACTGCTTGCCTACTTTTTATTGCCATTCCTACTTTTGTTACAGAATCATCACGTGTACCCTCGCAGTGATTATTTCTGAAGGAGAGTACTTTACGCTTTCTTTTTGCGTTTTGTTTGCAGCACACGTTTCTGAGCTAAAGAAATTCTATCTTTTTAGTGATTTCATTTTTCTTCTTTTATGGACTTGAAAGTTCAGTTGATCTAGTTGACTGTGTATTCCTTACCAGCTCAACTCTTCAATCTCTCCGACAAGCACCACTGTCCACTTTATTGACTTTGACTGAACTGAACATCGAGCTAATTCGAGCATCGGCGACCCAAAGAACGACATGTGTATTCAATTGCTCGTACAAGGCTGAGCCCTTTTATTAGGTTGAATAGCTGAAAGTGGCTTTGGTGGCTCAGCGCTGCTGTGGCTACACTCGATGACTAGTAATTGCTGTCGTAGTGTGTCGCCGTCAGTCTGTAATCTTCCTGTCTGTCGTTATTATCCCCTCTGTTCAATCCATAGATCAAGTCCGATCTCACAGAGTGTCTCCTAGCACACTGCCAATCTGTCATTATCATCCAGCGGTAATTACTGGCACACATTTGCAACACTGCGAAGCCAGTGGACCGTTGCCAGCAGGCAGAGACTTCTCCTTTGCTGCTAAATCGAGCCTCCATTTTTACTCGGAAAAAAGTGTGTCTTATCTGCTGCTCTTGCAACAATGCCTTACTCTAACGGTATGAAGCAGGCAGCATCAGTAGAGCATGCACTTTAGGGCTGGAGAATCAGTGCTGCCATTCTGTCTGTGGTGGCAATGTGTGTTTCAGCAGTGTTTGTGCTCAGTGGAATCAGAGTGAGTGCTGACGGCGGTGCAAAGTATCTCCCTGTTCATTGTCTGTCCACTGGGCAGTATGGGGAGGGGAAAGACGAACAACTTGTCTCAGTACTGTACTGAGCGGAAGCAAGTCTGTTTGTGTGAAAGAGAAAGAGAAAAAGTGCTTAACGTTTAGTTGTACAAAAGTGTCCACTTGTTTGTAATCGCTCCACTGACCCTCGCGGAGAAGGTCGATGATATGCGGAGTGCGCCAGTGCTTTTGTACTGCTGGTCTTAAACTGGCAGTGCTTAAAGTGCTCACATCGTAGACCGCCACATCGACGGTGCTCTACTGATCTACAGTCAAGTGGAGGTAGTAAGTGGTGGAAGGAGAATGGACAGTGCTGTGCTCGCTACACCACTTTGGTCACTCCAGAAGGCAGTGCTTCCATTCTAATTACCTCTTCCTAAAGTAGTCTTGGTGCCTGCACTACTACCGCCACCACTGTCACCACAACTGGCGCACATAAAATTTAATTAAACACGTACACTGCCAACTGCACTGTCTACTATACTGTCGGACACCTGCCGACACTTTACCTTAGACGCTTCCGTTTCCTTTGCATGTTCACTGCCTGTTTTCTTGATGCTCTGTCCAAGAGTGTCTGTCAGTCAGCCTGTCTCACATAGCACTTCGCCATTGTTAGTCGTTGTCAGTTTTTCTGTTTGTTTGCACTCTCTGTTCACACCACTAATCGCCCCATAGAGACACACAGCATTGTTGAAATCGATTGACCTTTTATGCAATGCTGGCCGATTTTGGTTCTACCGCCGCCAAGATGGCGACATTAAAACAAAGTGTCCACACTGGCTGAAAGAACAGTGTACCTCAATGCAGACTGGTGTGTGCTTGTGTGCGTGAATGTCTGCTGTGTTCTGCTCAAAACGTTTCATTCTTGAGAAATGCAATTGTCACCGAGGCACCGGCACCACTTAGGAGAAGCGTCCAGCGCTGTCCAGCACTATCGCCACCATCACCAGCGACATCGCCGTCCCAGTGATGCAGTGATGCAGTGTCTTCTCTGTCCATTGTGACATCCAAATTCAATTTGACCACTTTTTGGACGCTACTGCAATGCAATAAGCCAATTGCCAATTGACAACACCGTACACCAGCACTGCACTCGCCAGCAGAAAAGGAAGCGACAACTTTTTTCTGCAACTTTGGCCCGCTGTAGTAGTTTTTCTTTTTCATCAGTACACTGCTTTTTTGCCAAGCCACCAAACGTCTTCTTTGCTCCCTTCATCACCAGTGCCATTTGCTTGTGAGCATCTTTCTCTTTTTTCGTTCTCTCCTAGTTTTATTCTTTTCACTTGTTTTCATCTTGCCCTACAATTTCACCAATTTGGGGCTGCTGTCAACTTGGACCGTTTCTTTTTCTTCTTCTTCTTCTTCTTCTGTTTGTTCCGTCACTGGGCGCAGCACTTTCTCTCTTTCTCTCTTTTGCCCGGTTTGTCAGCTCCACTATTATCTTGCTGGTAAAAAGATTAAAAAGTTATCTTTGCCGGCTTTATTATGCTAACAGAGGCAGTTTAAGTCAATTTATGCCTTCTTCACTGGGTGAGTCAACTGAGGCTTGCTAACTCGATTCTCTCGGCAAGTCAACTTCCATTGTCGTTCTGCTCGATGACAGTTAGAGCTTCAGATTGCTCTGCCGCTTTTGTGCTTTTGCTTGGGCTGCACTGCAAGTTGTCCTTTTATGCAGCAAGGCATCCTACAACGGAAGTAGGACTTTTTGGATCGATAATCAACTTTGGGTGTTTAAATTAATATAAAGATGATCGTAGAAAGCATCGGTCGGCTGCTGTACAGCCTGGTGCCCTCCTCCTCCTCCCTTCCCACTACCCTTCCCTCCAGCTCCTCCTTCTCCCTTTCCTCTCACCTTCCCACCTTCTCCCTCTCCGTCTCTTTAATGCTCGCTGGCCCGGTTATTCTCTTCACCGCTCTTCTCCTCCGCCTATGGCCGGTGGTGACGAGGTTTCAAAGGCGAATCCGCCAAGTGGATGACCTGCCTGGCCCACGCTCCACTAACGTCATTTTGGGCAATGTGCCCGCAGAAATGCTCAAGTCGCTCATCACCGGCGCAGACCACAAAAAACTGATCATCAGTAAGCTGTTTTCATTTTTTTGACCGCTAAGCGTCTAACAGTTGTGCCCTGTCTTTGTTTGATCTCTAGATTTGATGGACTCAATCTCTGGTTACACGGAAGTGTTTCGTAAAGAGAAACTTTTCCGAGTTTGGCTCTCCTGGGAGCCGCTGGTGTTCCTTTGGCACCCTGAGACGGTGGAAAAAGTGTTGTCCAACAACTTTCTTCTGCAGAAATCAAGCCAATACCAGTTTTTGCATCCGTGGCTGGGCACCGGACTGCTCACTTCAGAAGGCACTAAGTGGCGGACAAGGAGAAAGCTACTGGTGCCGGCCTTTCATTTTAAAATTCTCCACGATTTTGTGCCGGTTTTCAACGAACAGTCACGGGTGCTCATCGAACGACTGCGAGAAGTGGCCAGGCGAAAGTGCTCCAACTGCACCGTCGTTGACATTGTGCCCATCATCACCGCCTGCACACTGGACATTATCTGCGGTGAGTAAAGGCGGACATGCCCACTAAACTAGGCCACTGCTCTTACAAAGTGTTCAATGCTAATTGCGGTAAACTACTTACACAAACAGAAACTATCATGGGGGTTTCCATCGGTGCACAGCACAGCTCAAACAACAAATACTGCAAATCGGTCACAGAGTGAGTATATTGCTGCCTTCACGACAGTTAACTAGTGCACATTTGCATGCATTGCCTTTGCTTTTAAAGTTGCCTTTGCCCACCAAGGCCACCATCACCCGTTTTCCCTGCCGCTGCTGCTCCTTTGGCGGTTTCTTTTTCGCCTTCTTGCTGCGAGTTATGATTTTGGCTACGTTTGATTGCACAGGCAATGTGCGTACTTTTAAAGCAGTTCAAGATAAAAACATTAACTTTTTTTAGCGATAGCATTAGCTGCCATCACGTAGTGCAAATGCAAACTACAGAACAAATGGAACGCTGTACAGCAGTGGCTGTTCTGCTCACTCGGTAGAGGTACTTCGAGGAGACAATGCTTCATGTGACTGTTCTTTCCTGCCTCCACCGCCACTGCTACCACTAAGGCCGTTCCCGCGCAGTAATGGACTAATCATAATGGCATTATTTGTGCTAATTCAACTAGATCTACCATGCGAGATAGTGCTTTTAATGGGCTAGAAAGTTTTAAATCCATTCATCTCGCCCAAAGAATGACACTTTCCACTGGCAGTTCCCCCTTTCTCTTCCCTTTATCGCATTGTCCGATCCAATTGAGTGCACCAGTGTGTGTGTGTGTGACTGGCTGGCACATTTCACCCACTGCCCAGACATTTTCATCTGAAGGCCAGCTGGTGGTGGTAGTACTTTACTGTTGGCGGCAGTGGTTAGCATCACTCCGGTGGATAGCCCATCATTTGACAACCAGTGCGCTCCACTGGACAGCGGTAATCCTGACGGCAACTGACCACTACCACTGCAACTACCACAGCAGCAGCTATTCGATTCGACAATGGAAGCATTTTTGTTTGTTTGCTTCGTTAATTACTGCAACCCCCCCCCGTCCTTTCAAACTAGGCCTGTTCCTGCTGTTTTTTGCTATTACTGCAAAACTGCAAGTGCAAATAATTGCCTGTGCTCATCATCAGCACTGTGCGTGCTGTTTTAAAATGAGTAACTCAGTTAGGTGAACTAATTATCAAAGGTAGTGAACATCAGTGGGCATCAGTTAGGCAGCTTTAGATATGTGCGCAAATGTAGGGCGTCAGTAGTAAAGGCTCAGTTTTCCTATTTCTGGTCATTATTAACGGTCAATCTCTCTTTTTTCTGCGGACAGAGTGGGCGAGTGCTTTCTTGAGCGACTCATGCAGCCACACTACTGGGCCGACCAAATCTACTACCGCTCGGAGCCTGGTCAGCGATTCTCTGAGAATCTTGTCCGCCTGCATGATTTCACGCGCAAGGTTATCCGAGAACGAAAGGCGGAAATACTTAATCAGCCGCACACTATTCGCTACAAACGTACCGCCAACGGCTACACTGAGCTAGAGGAGAATGACAAAGACCGCCGCAAAGCTTTCCTCGACCTCCTGCTCGACCATCACATCAAGTCAGGAGAACTAAGTGAAGAAGACATTCGAGAAGAGGTAGACACCTTCATGTTTGAAGGGTATGTTTAAGTGTTTTTCCAAAAAAAAAGTTTTTTATTAACACTGGTTTTACCTTTGCACACAGCCACGATACGACAGCCATGGCGTTGAGTTGGATACTTTACCTGCTAGGACATCATCCAGAAATTCAAGCAAGGGCTGCTGCAGAAGTTGACTCTCTTTTTGAAGAAGCCAACATGGATGATCTTAACAATGGCTCAGATGATGGAGATGACAAAGTTACACTGACGCTTGATAAAATCAAATCTCTCAAGTACTTGGAGTGCTGCGTCAAAGAAGGCCTAAGACTTTGTCCCAGGTTTGATCGCAAAGCTGTTATTTATTCTTGCTTAAAAATAACCAAATTTTATTTAAAGTGTACCCTTCATAGGCCGTCGTCTGCACGAAGATATGGAAATTAACAAACACTTTGTACCTAAGGGAACTATTCTTTTTGTGTACATTTTTATGCTTCATCGTGATTCCGATGTGTTTCCAAATCCTGAAGTCTTCAATCCAGATCGCTTTTTGCCAGAAAATTCTGTCGGCCGCCATCCGTTTGCCTTTGTTCCATTCTCAGCAGGTAGCCGCAACTGTATTGGCCAGCGATTCGCCATGTCTGAGCTAAAGGTCGTTCTGGCGTACCTACTGCGATACTTCCGTTTTGATTCGCTTGATCACCGTGATAAGATATCTGCCATGATGGAAATGGTCTACCGTCCAAAAAGTCCTCTGAGACTGCGCGTCTTTGAGCGGAGGAAAGCCGAGCTCTTTGAACCAAACGAGTCGATGGACCTGATGATGAAGGCGAGGAACAGCCTGGACGATGGAAGCATTGGCAACGGATCACTCATCGACCTTGGCTTGGGGAGCAATAGTGGCGCCAGCATCAGCGACAATCACAGCCTCTCACAACAGTCCATCGTCGACTAAGGGCAAACGCGTTCTTCGCTCCTTCTTCAAATCTATTCAACAGGTCAGCCTACTAAGGCTACCAGCACTCATTCCAATGCCACCCATTTGCTACGCTTCTGATGATCGTCATGTAAATTAGCTTTAATCTATTGAATGTATACAATCGCTATTATTATGATTATACAGTTTGCTTGAGATCAGCATGTGCGTGTGTGAAAATGTTTCACGTTTTTTCTGTTCCTGTATTTACAACTGCCTGATCAGGAGACAAACCCGTTCTCTTTATCTAACCCAAAACTTTACTTCCTAATTGTTTTGTTGCTGTTTCGTGCTACGACTCTCTCAGAGGAGCCATATCGCAGTCCAATCAATCAGTTGAAGGATTAATGGCACCACTACTGCCAGAAGAGCCATGCAGTGGGTTTTACTTTACTGGTTGATGAGGCTAAAATAAACATTACGGCTGTGGCCAGGAAACAACACTGCTCAAAAAGTAGCTACAGGGTGACAGACAAGGTCAATTCATAGTCAAGATCAGAGGACTTCTCATTGAGTAGAAACAACTGAACTACCCATTCTAAGAATAGAGGCCATTCACTGTGCAGTCAATCATTGTTTGCGGTCAAAGCGATCCAGCTGGTGCGCAGTGGCTGCCCTGTTCTTCTGCTTTTGCCAGCACCCACTCTGCTGCCATCAGGCGTGGAGGCGACATCACAGGCAGTCATCCTCGTCAGTCGACATGCCCACCACATCAAGTGACGCCTTACACTGCCGAGCTCACTTACAATGTGACCTTTACACTCTCCTTTGCTTTCCATTCCCCCGGAGTCACATAATCGGCCTCTTTATCGCCGTTTCTTCTCTCTTGTCATCCTCCCTCAGCAGTGCCCCTTATCTCACTTGCCTCATTTTGATTGCCAAAAATACAAGTGAAAGTTTCTTCAACTCTAGAAGGGCGTACTGGTTGTGCTGTTTCTTTTCTTGCTCCTTCTGCTGCTGCTGCCGTGGTGGTGGTAGGGATGTGTGCGTTTGAAGTTGTCACAATCTGCCACCGCTTTTAGCAGAAATGCTGCTAGGAAGGCATGAGTGAGGGCGCCCAAATGGACTGGTTGCTTGGTTAAGAAAGTTGAGCTGAGCTGAACTGCCTCTGTGAGGTTGTGCTTGAGCTGAAAATGTTTGTGTGCGTGCAGTGGCAGTGAATGACCATATATAAGCAAAGAACGTCGACATTGTCTGACAAACGACCAGCGGAGGAACTCACAATTTCTGAGATCCTCCGATGAAAATCTCTTTTTCAAAATATTATTTTTACTGTTTTCAAGCACACACATCTGCTTCCCAACCACAACAACTCAATGGCACCTTTGAAATCAACTGCATATCTACACCACCTGGCAGCTGTACTGCTCATAGTGACAGTACTCTTCCACCCGGGCAGTGGTACCCCCTTCCGTCCTAGTGCACTTCCTGCTGAAAATGTTCTCTCCAGCGGTTCATGTCGTGTTGGCAATTTGTGCTGTACAGGGCGAGACCGAAACTGTGCCGTTTCATTAAACCCCGGTGGTCCGGTTTCTTTGATAGGAAATATCATTACTGCAGCAGAGAATTCTGCAAAGGAGTGCTACTGCGACAGTGCATGCATCACACTTGGCGACTGCTGTGCTGACTACAAGGCCACTTGTGGAGGTAAGTACCCTACCGAAAGGCTAGTTGTCTTTTTGCTCAACTGTGCAACTGACTAAATAAAAACTAACTTAATTTGTCACCATCAATGTGCAGTGATCGACTGTCGCGTGAGTGAATGGGAACAGTGGTCAGAGTGTGACGCTGCCTGCGGAGTGGGCTCAATGTCGAGGTCGCGCACAGTTCAGTATGAGCCACAAAACGGCGGCAAAGAGTGTCCTGATTTGCGCCAGAAGCGAGCCTGCCATGGACAGCGATGTGAAGTGCAAGACAATGATAAGATGCAACGAGGTGAGAGACTGTCTGCTTTGCAAAACTATCTGCTTTTTTACTGACTGCTGCCTTAACTCTCCTAGAGACTGCCATCATTCTCCAGTCGAGTTTTTCCTCCACTCGAAACGTCGACGAAAACCAAGATATCCGCCGTAATCTGCGTCTGAACTACCCCAAAGATCCGCTCAAGGAGAATGTCATTGAGTAAGTGTCTGCATTGTTGCTGACTATGCATTTTTGCAGTCGCTGCTACTGTTCAGTTTACTGATGTTGTGGTTTTCCTCTATTCAATCACTCCTGTTACACAGATACACCGTCCTCTTTGAGGTGACAAAGAACAAAAAGTCTTGTGAAACACTGGGCGCTGAAGTGTTCGGCAAGCTGCAGGAAGGATCAAAGGTGTGTGTACAGTGCCAGGACGCAGCCATGAGACGGCACCTTGGCTATCGCTGCTCTGGCCATGGCCTTCTGGGGAAGAGCACTCGCTGGACGGCTTTGGGTAACACTGGCTGCCACGGCAGATGGATTCGACTTGATGAACGAGTAGCCGCCAGCTACTGTGGAGGCAACAAAAATGGCACTGCCTTCGGAAGCAACGAACCTGATTTCATTTTTGTTTGAGCATCTTTACATTTCTCCGCCTCATAGTGTTTTTACTTTTATATACATTATTTATTATTACTTTCTATCTTTACCCACTTTTCAAGTGTGAATAGTCAATGTAATAGTGCAGTTGAAAAAAGTTTATTTTTGTGCAAAAATAAATTATGTAACAAAAAATGGTTATTCGAGCCTTTTTTATCACTGACTTTTGATTGCTTTGGATTCCGATGACTTGATTTGAGCAGTTCCTCCTTTTTGCTTGTACGCTTGCTGGTAAAAATTGTAAAACATCCAAAAGAAAAAGGGCGGTTGTGTAAAACCAAAGTACAGCCAAACGGGCGGGTATCCAGTCTGAAAGCAGGCGACAAGAAGGCCGTAAAGCATACCAATGCCAAATTGAGCCAGTTGCATCACGGTAATGTACTTTTTCCACCAAAGATAAGGTTGAACGCTTGGCCCCAGGGCACTAAGAGCGTAATAACCGTACATAACAACGTGTATAAAGCTAAACCGGAAGTTGAGTAATAAATGAATTAAAAAAAATATATTAAAAGCTGAATACGCTGCTCTTTAAGTACGTGTTTTGTAGTGCTTGAAAGTTTTTAACAGTAATAAATGGATTAAAATAAAAACATTTTTGTAATTTAGGCGTTCAGTTTTCAGATTGTCTATACTACTGTAAACTTTTCAGTGCTACCCTACACGTACATGAGATTTTTAACAAGTTCACTTACCAGTTTATGATAATGAAGAGATGTGCCGATGGCAAAACAGGGTTGATCTTCAAAATCAGGTAGCCAAAAACGGGAACTGAAATGTGGTGATAAAGATGAAGAAAGTTGATAGAGGCGTTCTTCTTTCGCAGCACGTAAAAGGTGGTATCGGCCCAGTCGGCAAACTTGCTCATCCAGTACCACCAACCGAGATGGATTTCCTAAAGCAGATAGAATAAGCATTGACAATCAGACGGAAATGTCATGTGTGGCACGTGATGAAATGTGCTTGGACGATTAGCGCAGCTCCGTTTACGTAAACGGACAAGGACAATTACTAGGCTTTATCGATGCATCGATAATGTCAACAGAGACATGAATCTCTGTGAAATCATTGCCCTCTCTCTCTCCCATGTTTTGCGGGACTCTCAAAATGTGTGTGCGCTCTGAAAACAGTGTGCTAACGGCGAGTCATCAGAGTTGGTTAGCTGTCGGCAGTCCTTATCTCTGACAACCATCTCTGCCAATTAACCGGACACACACATTTACAAACATTGACTGCTGGACAACGGACGTTGACAGAGCTGATTCAGGCAGATGAGGGAATGATGTCAACTCTGGCATGCACTGACCTTCCGCAACTTTTCACTAACTGTCACTAATTGCACTTGCACTTGCACTTTTAGTGGTGGACACTAATGTTGACGACAGTTTTTGCCGAAGACAAGTAAAAGGTAAAGCCACTGTTGTTGTTGAACTTGCTGCAGTTCAAGTTTTTTTTGCTGACAACAATAACTTTTGATAGGATAATTTTAGCAGCAATACTGACTACGAGATGATGCAGAAAACGTGAGTGTGTCAACGGGAGCTGGTGACATGTGTTGTGTCACTTTGCCAGTTGTTCCAGTGTGCTTTCACTTCTGCTGCCAAAATGTTAATTATCGCTGGTCATTTTGAGTTTTAATCAATTAGTATTAAGTTAATTTGATCGGTCGGTGATTGATGCTCGGCAGCGTCAAGGTCAGTCTTGGCAATTATGTAAAGTTATTACTACTAAATCAGCACTATGGCAAATATAAGCCTAATCAACTGGTCAACTGCACTAGCACCGCTGATTGATTGGCTTGTCGTGAGGTGTGCTGGCAAAATAGATAGTGATACAAGAGACTGGCCAATTTAGGTCATGCATGCTCACTCTCGGTCATGTGAGAAGGACAGTGCACAAATTAATATGTCAATTCACATGCAAAAAGCATTTTATACCTTTAGGGTTTCCGAAGAAACGTCGCTACGATCAGGATACTTGAAGTCCAAGAGACGTTGGCCGTAGTTGCTCCTTCGAACAGACTCAAACAAGAAGAAAGCATTGACACAGACCATAGTGATATTGTAGACGATCATGAGCTGGCGTAACTGAAAAGCGGGCCGATCTTTCATCCAACTAGGGCCAATCTTTGTAACGGCAAGGAAGTAGGCTCCCATTATTCCTGCCATGGTGATTGGGTGAACGGCCACCAGTGGGTAGCTTTTTGTTCGCTCATCTTGAATCTCATTCCAGTAACCGTAAGCGTAGTATGTGTAGTGGTAGAGGTGGTCCATTCTCTCCAAAATGTTGAGGTAAAGTGAGGTCAGTTGAGGTGAGATGAAGACAAGGGTTCGAGAGAGCAAATAAATGCAAAACAATTTATAACCCAAAGATAGTGAGTGGCACACAGACAAAGAGACAAAAACCGACGAAAAAGGAGGTGTTCAGGTGTGGGCAATCAGCTGGGCACGACACTTGCGGCGCCAGGTGAAGGTGCACTTACACTGGCTAGAGTCGATGAGCTGCGCGGCGTCACTGAACTTGCCACTCACCGCCAAATGCATGCCAGTTCTCTCCTGGATCGGTTATATAACGATGCCAGCCACAAGGTGAGCTAAGGGAGAGAGTAAAAGAGAGTCTGTGAGTTAGTGCTGCTATGCGTTAGTTCCCCTGAGAGAGCAGTGTCACTGAGCAGTAAGAAGAAAAACGGAGAAAAACAAGAGAAGAAAGAAAAAAAGGGAGAGAGGGAGAGAGGCGATCACTGTCGAAGCGTGTCCAGGCTTCAATCGACACTGATCCACTCCACTGGCCCATCAGACAGACACGCATGCCGTTAAGATCACTAGTGTTGGTGTCATACCTCAATTTCACAGACTTATTAGAGGTGCTCATTTGTGAGGTGTGCTTCAGACCCAGAAAGCAGCATTGCCTTTTTAGAAGTTCACTGCTCACTGGGCAGTCTCCTATTTGTTGCCTTTTGCAGATGCTATCTTGCTTACAAACTACACTTTGGATTTTGGCTGTAGAGGTGCTGGAAATAGTGGTGAAGGTGGAGATGGTGGTGGTGGCAAGTGAAAGTTTAGCACTGAAAGGTGTGCGCTGAAAGATCAGCTATTCGCTTTGCACTATCGATTATCGTTCTCAACCTCTAATCATTATCCCTATCTATAGATGCCTTGTGTAGTTGCTTCACTGTTTCTGCCTGATGATCAGCTGCCATTTTATTGTTTATTGGAAGAACTTGATGGCCAATACAAGTCAATTGTATTTCCGCACTGCTTATTAGAATTTCGTGAAACAAGTGAGAACTTCTTACTTTTAATAACTAAAAAATTGTGCAGTAAAACTTTTTAAATTTTTCCTATAAAACATTGTTTATGTGCACCAAGTTTGAATACCTGTCCACTTTTGACTTTTATACATAAAGTGTTCCTNTTTTTTAAATTTTTCTTATAAAACATTGTTTATGTGCACCAAGTTTGAATACCTGTCCATTTTTGACTTTTATACATAAAGTGTTCCCTTTCAAATGTCAGTATCGTCTAAATGTGACCAATAAAGACTTGCAGACAGGCAGACAACTTAGCGTGTCAATTTGAAGCTTTCTGTCATTAAAATGAACAGTAAAATATTATAGCAATTGTTGTTGCTGCTGATGCAAAGACACATCATGGTCTGCATGCCTGTCTTCCATGCTAATGAGCCACTGAGATGCTAAGAGGGGGAGGAATAAACCGCATAAATTAGACCGACTTTCAATCGCCGCAAACGGTGTCATCTTCATTGAAAACTCCTCTTTCTTTTTTTCTCTTTCTCTTTTCTCTCCAAATGTGTCCTCAAATGTCCTTGAGTGTGTCTATCTTTTCAGGTAACTTTTAACTACGGCAACGGCTGCACAAATTCATTGCCGTGTATAGCAATACTATTTTTGACTTCAAATTAAAAAATGAAAAATACGAATTTAAACTGGCAAATATTTAATGTCATCCGAGTCTACAGTAGAGTTTATATTGAAAAATGTGAAATTGCTACTATAATACGGTACGATTTCTTTGCACAATTGCACAGCAAATAACACCAATTTACACAAGGTGAGGACAAACTTGATGTCACCAAGTCAATACCGTTGCCTTTTAATGAGAATTTTGTCATCCTTTACTGCTACTGATAAGTTACTGCTGCTATTCAAATAATCGCACACACTATATAAAAATGTTCGACGGTCAAAATTAAAAATGACGCAGCTGCGTTTAGTTCAAACATACATAGATACGATTTATGTAATGTCCGATGAGGCAATGGATGTGTACTTTAAAAATGTAAAGTCGATTAATTTGAGCTTGCACTCACCTTGAGCATGCTTTACTTGATGATAGTCATTGTGACCAGCAGAAGTAATGATCGTTAAAGTGAAACGACGCAACAACTAAAACATTCTTTATGTTACTTCCAATTGTACTCTACTAATTATTACGTGCGCAAAGGTTATACCAAATTAATAAGAATTGATCAATCTCCTGATTTTAAAGGATAATAAATCATTAAATTAAACTGAAATCCAGCCTGACTTTCTGATACATGTTACTTCATCATATTTTTTAAATTAATTTGTAAATTGCCAAAATCTAAATAAATCTTACAAAAACAATCAGTCGTTAAATACTAATAAAACCTACAGGACACTTTGTACAAAATTTTCCCTAAAATAAGTAAGATAATTAAAGTGTAAACATTATAAGATAACATGAAAATTACTATCTTAAGTGACTAAACAATTA